GATTTAGCTGGACCTTTTGAACAGATGTAATGCTGAATCAAATGAATCTGTGGAAAAAATAGTCGTTAGCCTAGCCAAAATTTATTGCTAATAAGGTTTAGTAAGATAAGTTTCATTCTTAATGAAAATTAGCGCATGCCACGTCTAGTGGAATTTTTTACCTAGAAACTGAGAAAAATGCCACGTGTATTTTAGATGAACTTGTGATGTTTCGTGTGTACTTTTGCAGCTGTTCATGTATTTACTTTTTCCGTGTTATAAAATGAAATTTCTATCACGTGCTTGCTGTCAATGTCATATGGCTTAATTAAGATTTTTTATCACGAGAAATAGTAATTTGCAAACATCATTTTCCGATTCTATGACATTAATTTTTAACCAGTTTTCTCACTTAATAGCTATGCATCTCAGAAATTAGAACTGTCCATCTTTTGATATAGCAATCTGTCTAAGTTTCAGTGTGAAACACGATAATTTTTTCTCTACGCATCATATAGAGTGATGACACCTGGCTTGCACCTTATCATCGGAAATAAAATCAATGCTTGGTTATTATATACATAGAATATGACGACTTTCTGCTCAACTTTTTTGTTTTTAAATATTGTTACCAGAAATAAATTTATCTTGGAAGTGTGGGGCACCCTGCAAGAATTTTCCTATATTTTATTTTTCACAATGAGTGTTGTTGGTATCTTTTTAGATTGATAATCATTCCCTTGGCAGTTGGCAGCTGCTTTGATTTGTTTATGTGTTTCCTTTTCTTGTTTTTAGTTTTTTCTGGGATCTAATAGTTCGGAGAAAACTGACAGTACAGACTATTCTAAGATTGTTCTTTCTCTGTCTCTTGATTCGTGAATTCTTTCTCTGTCTCTCAATTCTTTCACGAATCGAGGATTAGTTGTTTGGATTTCGAATATGACTACACGTTATTGTTTTGCAGCATTGTTGAGATCATGGGAACCTTGGCACTAGATAATGAGAATGTACACTCTGAAGAGTACGTAACATTGGGGCTTAAAGAATCGGGGAATGGAAATTCCGGAAACCCCCGAGTTTTATCACTTTTGTCAACACTTCTTGAGAGGTCTGTTCAGAAAAATGAAAGGATACTAGAGGCCACAAAGACCAAAGATGCTATCACAATATTTCACGGTTCAAGAGCACCTTCTCTGGGCATCTGTCAATATATTGATCGTATTTTCAAGTACTCGCGCTGCAGCCCTTCATGCTTTGTTTTAGCATACATATATGTGGATAGATTCGTTCAGAAGACAAATTTTTACTTAACATCCCTAAACGTTCACCGAGTTATAATCACCAGTGTAATGGTGGCAGCGAAGTTTATTGATGATGCGTAAGTTTCCATGAAGCTACGCTAATCATATTTATAAATTTCCCTTTTTGCAAAAATCTAATATGACTTAAATACGTTTCAGATTCTTCAATAATGCATACTATGCTAGAGTGGGAGGCGTAAGCACGGCAGAGTTGAACAAGTTGGAGATGAAGCTTTTATTTGGTCTCGACTTCCAACTTCACGTGAATCTGCAGACATTCAGGAAGTATTGTTCGCTGTTGGAAAAGGAAGCAACGGACGTGCTTCAGATTGAACGCTCGTTCCAGGTGTGTGGAATAAAAAAGAGCTGGCAAAACAAAGACGATTCAACTTGTGCTCCTACAATTGCTAGATGAAATTCTACTTGGGTCTGGAGATATGAAGACAAAAAGTTGCAATAAAAGAAAATGGATTTTAAATTAGTTTGTCACACAGTTTAGTGGATATGATTGTTGTAAGATTGCAGCCTGCTGTATTTTTCTTCTTCATTTGAGTAGCATAGAGTTTGGTCTAGGAATCATTTCTCCTTGTTCTTTTGGATTCCTTCACTCTATTTTTTGTCGATTTTCCTTTTCGAGTTCTTCGGTTTCGTCGTGCTCTGCATGCCATTTTTCATGCATTCAGAAACTTGGGGTTCCATTGTTGATCGTGT